AACCAACTCTCGAACGCTCCAGTATCGGAGTACATAAAGTAATTGTAATTCAAGACCCTTCCGCTCACACCTTTCAAATGAATGTACTTGCGTGTGAGAATTATAACGCAGATCAATAAAAACGTCAAGGTCTGCAACAGGTAGTCGCCTCAAGAGGTATAATGCCTCTCTTGAGGAGAAACGGTGTAAGCATTTTCGAAATAATTCGTATATAACTACCTAGTCATAGCAGGTCTATGGCAAGACAATCAAATTGCGGGAATTTCTTTAGAGCACTAGGTACCAAGCGTATGCAGTAATGTATACGTGGCCGAGTTAATAGCCCTGGGTACGGATAAAATTTAAAATTAGCCAATCTAAGTAGAAATGGAAACTATGAATGAATCACACGTAAAATTATGTAAGAATTGTAATATAGAAAAACCTCTTGATTACTACTATAAGTATAAAAACTCATATTTTGGTAAATGTAAGGAATGTACTCTTGCCCAACAACGCGCTAGAATCCAAACTCCTGAAGGACGTGAGAAAAGAAAAGCTACTACAGTCAAATATGAGCAATCTCCTGCCGAACAAATTCGAGCCAAAAATAAAAAATACCAACCAATAGCGAACCAGAAAGCTGTAGAACGTAGAAAGAACGATCCAGCATATAAGATTGCCGCCTATCAACGCTGTCGTATGCGTATTGTTCTTAAAGGTATTAGCAAAAGCGCTGGTACTTTAGAACTTATAGGTTGTTCATTGGATTATCTGAAAGCTTGGTTCGATTATCAATTCCAGCCTTCTATGACTTGGGATAATTATGGCGCATATTGGGAGATTGATCACGTTCGTCCCTGTAGTAGTTTTGACTTAAATGATACGCTACAGCAAAAGGAATGTTTTGGATGGAAAAATTTAAGACCATTACAATGTAGTCGTAATCGGAGTAAAAATAAATATATTGATACATGGGATTTAATTTGCCATGAAATTATCGTACGTGGATGGCTAAAAAATTATAAATTTGTCCATGGTAACAACCCTAGTGATTAGATAATCCGCAGCCAAGCACCCCACCACATTCTTAGGAGTGTGAGGGTGAAGGTTCAGAGACTAAATGGTTGTCGGTTCTCTTATGTTGATCGTAAGAGGGCTTAAGATATAGTCCAGCCTCTAGGGAAACTTAGAGGAGGCGTTCACTTATTTGACCCTTTCGTGGAATTAGAACGCCATCCCACTATTTGACGGGGATCAGATGAATCTATGGATTCCACGTAATCCAGCTTCTCGTGCAGAAGCATTATTGATGTCAGGTATAGCCAACTGGTTTATATCGACAAAAACTTCTGGGCCAGTGAATGGACAGGTCCAAGATTCGATCATTGGAAGC